TTTCGGACACGCGCAGTAATAGACACCAGCTTATATTTTCGGACAGAGGAAGTAATTCAGTCGATGTACTTTGCTCCTCTGGACGCTTCATATCAACAGAAACAACTTGGTATCGAGGACCAAACTTCCATAGACTGCAGCACTTGGCTGTGGCAACACCACCCAGAAGCTGTGGCCACTGTTTCACGAGCATGTTGGAAAAATCGACCTCGTTTCTTGAGCGCTTCTTCTTGTTTGTCGCGGTGGAAAAGTCATCCTTTCCATTTGTCAGAAGTAACATTTGAGGTTTATGTTGTGGACTGGGACTTCCAGGCGGAGTTATCTTGCCATGGGAGTCGTCAAATGTGACAATTGAGAGTACGTCAGATTTTTTTCTTGGCTTGATCAGTGGTAGTTCAACCGACGAGATGCCATTCTGAGCTCTCTGTTATGGCTGCGCTTCTCGTGTTCTTCTCTCCTCGATTGCCATTTGCAACGAGGTTTGTTTCGACTTTGCACGTGTAACCTGAGCATAGGTTTGTGGTGGTTGCTGTCGTTGTTGCCGAGATTGCTCAGAAGCTGGCTTTTTGGAAGGAACTTTACTGTCTACAGTCCCAAGATCGATTCCATGGTGCGAGCGATAACCATATGGATGACCGAAGCAATCATTTACTTCGAAGTAGTTTTTTGTTATGTTCGTTATATTTATCAAATCTATCGGCTCAGAAAAGCATCAATTGGACCTTTTTTTCTTGTTCCCGCGACTACTGCGTTTGCCATGGCATCTGAGCGCTGCGTCTGGCTAAGTTTTAATGCATAGTGAAAGTCAATGTGCTCAGCACGAGGCTCCGACACAACATGCCTGCACTCCTCACAAAAATGTTCAGATGATTTAGCAGCTCTTCCTTGCGCGTTGCCTGACGTAATTTTTTCTTCACATGCTCTGGCTGACTTGCAAGCATCGTCCACGTGCGCTATTGCAACAGTAGCGATTTTCTTTTCTGTTTCGACATCACTACCATTTGTGAAGCTTGATGGAGTGAAAAATGCTGATATTTTTTGCCTTCTGCAATTTCGCGTTGGTGAATCGATCCTATTTCGTTTAGCTTCAAGCAATTTGCTATTTCCTTCCATGCGCTCTGCAGCCAGATCAACATAAGCCGATTTTTCTGGTATTCGAGTGAAAAATCTCGAAATAGTGGGAGAGTCTGAGTCGAGGTCATAAAAGTTCTTGGCGTGCATGCTGAGGGCAGCCATTGGAAACACGCTATCTAAGTGGAGCCTCATAACATTCATAGCTGCTGTGTATAGCTTGTCCACGATCGTATCCTGAGCAATGCCCAGCTTAAACGTACGCGGCTTGTCGCCAGGCTTGGCGCGCATGAACTGAATAGTCAGTTGCGAGGGAAAGCGCTTGTTCTCAACGCGCTCGTCCTCGCAGCGTATGACCATCTCCTCGCACAGCAAGCGCACCCAATACTCGAGCTCCTCGAGACGCCTCAATGCGGACCCAGAGCGCTGGTCAAATTGCTTTACACAGCTTACTATCTTCACTTGAACCTTCTTCTCTTCCACCGGTTCACCATTGTCGTTACCCTGACATATCCGATGAACATAAGCCGCTGTTTCTTGGCCAACGTGCTTGGTCAGTTCTGCCAGCCCGCAGCGCTGGAGGAAAGCATGCGCAGTTAGTATCTGAGAATTTTCTTCAGCTGTCACTTTTCCGTGCCCAGCGGCTACAACATTCTTCGGTTTTGAGCGTGTATAGATGTCCTCGAGTAGCGTGCCAAGCTTACCACCAAGCCCTCGTATCTTCCGCATTGGCAAACTTTTCAAAAGAGTGGTGACAAAGCGAGGAGCAACCACGACTTGACCGTTCGGTTTGTTGAGTGGTGACGCTAACTTAGCAAGAAGCTTGTTGCAGGCAATACCCGTTGAGCAAGTATAGCCAAGTTTGTTGTAGATTGCGTGCCGAATCTCTCGTGAGATAATTGCACCAATGCAAAGAAGCTGCTCAATATTTGTGAGGGGAAACGCGCACAAATTGAGGGAATCCTTGTCAGAAGTTTTACTTTTATCCATTCCAGCTACTCCAAACACCATCGTATCGCGATTGGCAGGATCCTGGCAAAAATCTGACGAAAAGACACTCTGTCTTCGGGCAGACAAAAATAACAATTATCACCAAAATTAATACATTGCAAAACCATACATCAACGCACAATACGCGCAAGTCTCTCTTTAGCCATATCTGTGACGTCCATGAATGCCTCGTCGATGCTCGCCTTCTCAATCACTGAAACCATGGAGCTAAGAATCGCGAAGATCTCGCGACTTGCAACACGGTACCTCCGTAAGATGGCTTTCTGGTACGTCCGGTCAAAGAGATGTCCCGGCTTGCGGTTCTCGCCCAATGTATCTACATGTGGCTGTAACAACTGTCAGCTTCTAGTCAGCACCTCGTACGGGCTTTGCCGTCAGGTGAGGAGAATCAGGCAATTGTTCGTACCACGTGAATTTGCGGACATTTCTTCTTAGCGTCGTCCACAAAATCCCCTAATCTCAGTGTCGTTCATCAAAGGCTATATCTTACAAAAAGGTATACTCAATCAAACCTTTCTTCACGCCATACTTGCGTGCGTCATAGTTGATAGCTAGCAGACTACCCCACTGCTGCACCGCGACAGGCTTACCTTCCGGAATATGAAGACGACGCTGTTCTACCTGCGCATAGAAACAGTCAAGGTCAAGATGAATTATCACCCGCGTCGTTGAGCCGTCGTCGCTCATCTACCTATTAAAGGAATATATTTGTGTGTAAATTTTACCAAGAAATTTAAGTGAGTAGAAGAGACTTTAAAAGCTCAGAATCGGTTCAGAAAGCGTCACCGCATATACACACCAAATGTTTGCACTTGATAAAGCATCGGAAATATATCTCAGCTCCGAACCTGACTTCTACGCAAATTTACTTGCACAAAAAGTTAGAAACAGATGCTCATTTAATGCATGGAAACTGTACGCTGACGGTACACATGCTCGGTGTCAAATTAGATCGCCGGGTAGTGACGTGAGCACGAGTTTTAAGAAAAGAGAAAACTTTGCTCTTTTCCGACGCTCCCATGCTCATCATCTTTTCTTAAAAAGTTCGTTAACCGTTCAGTAGTCCGTATGTTGTTAGTTCCACCCTGTTTTTATGGTGCAACTTATCGAGTACGGAACTGTCGCGTTGCACAGATGTAACTCAGACACGTCATCGCGCGAATCTTAGAAGTGACCAACCAGCCTTTTAATGCGCTTACGGGGACAGGCTAGCACCAAGCTATGCAGCAACGTAACTGCACTAGACCGTCGAGCGCAGCGACTAGCTGAATTTGAAACCATTCTCGTGTTCTCATCTAATGAAATAAATACATTTTGCGACTAGAAAAAACGGTTCTGACGAACTAACCAACCGGTTTTGCGCCGAATTTATTATTTTTTTAAGCTTGCGGCCCGAAGATTCATCAGATATGAATCCTGACGACAAGAATCAAAGTTTGCAAAGTTGTACCTCCTGCCATTCAATTTTGTCTTACAAAGAAACTTTCTCCGTCAGTAAAGCTGTCACCACTGAGATGCTGCGTATCGCAACTTAATGCATTAACGAGCCACAGCCAAAGATGCACGATTAGCATGCACCTTTGATTGAACGACTTCGAAATTTATTGATACCCACATTTAGTAGCCAGCCGTCTCACTAGGCTACTACCAATTCACGCCCCGTGCGAGACTCTCGGTGCTGTGCAAACAATTACTAACACAGATACGCTACATCATGAAGCTCAAGTCCCAATCGAGAGCCGGGTGCAGGGGATCCTTACGATGAGCAGCTTTCGCGAAGTGATCTGATTCAGCCCAAATTTTTTGAGCACCTTGCCATCTCGCGTCCCTGGATGCACTGGTGAGAACCAAATTTCACAGCATAATTTAACATCACCTAGTCTCATAAGCAATCGTCTCCAGCAATCTTGACGTGATTCGGTCGGAAGCCCGCCAAGTCACAGCCGCACGCAGCAAAGGGATCCAAACATAGCCGCGTGTTGGGGCGCAGTATCCATACTGCAGAAATCTCTCAATTAGAAAAAGTATGTCAGATGACAATTAGCCACACTATGTTTGTTAGCAAATACGACAGGGTATTCAGACTCATATCATTAAAACTTGTGTACAGTACTGTTAATTGGAAACTTGTAGCACTTCTGATCTTGATCAACGCCTTTTTAATACTGTATTGCATGGATGGGCCCGGATTCACTGTTCGCACTGTCCGACTCGAGTTGTTGGCATTATTCGTATTATTCGTATTACGCTGCCACAGACGCTGACTTCCCTCCAACCAAGCCCATTTGAAATTCTACCGACAAATAGGCAAGCATCACGAGCGTTTTGCTCCGCCGCTCTCGCTTGGTAATTCTCTCTATTCCGCACAGTTCCTTCTTCATGCGCGTTTTGATTTCTGCTGTGCTGCTGCTGCCTCTGGGTGCTGTCACTCAGAGGACAAAAACGACTAGCCTCAGCTCCACAGTCGCGCATTCGATGAACACTTCGTCTGTCTCTAGCCAAGTGCCATGGACACTCGCCGATAATGCTACCATGCTATCCGAAATCAGGTCGCAAATCACCATGTGTAGCTACTCAAAAGTCGAAGAGTGTATTCGCGACCCGGCTCTAGTGCGAGAACTGGGTGTCCTTATTCGAGCACCTGGCCGTTGCGTAGCTTTTGACTCGGCCTACGTGGCCGTCACAACTCCGAGCGCCGCAATTCCTAATCGATATTACCCAACGTCTGTCAATAACGCCTATGATGCTGGGTTTGTAAATAAATTCTCAGAGTGGTCAGACTCGAACCGCGAGCAATTTGAGGTGGACTGTCCGTTACTCTTCAATCAGACCATCGGCCAGGGTGACGATATGCTCTGTTGCACAGAGTCCCAGTACACGGGGCTGTCCGCACAGGTCCGCATGATTCCCGGTTTGTGCTCGGCTTGCAAAGAAAACTTACGCAATATTTTCTGCCAAATGACTTGCAGTCCCGATAACAGTCTCTTTCTTGACGTCAACGAAGTTCGTATCATGGAAGGCGATGATGAGCATCCTGATACGGTATTTCCTGCAATTGAACAACTCACATACTATGTAGGCAATGACTGGATTCGTGACATATATGACTTTTGCAAAGACGACAGCTCTTTTTCACTGCTGTGCAATCCCAATCAGAATTGTCACGATGGCTTTGGCCTGATGGACTTTATGGGAAGATACTCTTTCAATAGTATTGGCTCTCCGCTTCAGATAAACGTGACGACTATGGACAAATTACCAGAAGAGATGCAAACGACTAAGTTTTGTCACTGTGACAGCCTAAATATGACTAATTGTATTCTTCCCATGAACGAACAAATGACATCTTGTATTGGCGTCTGCGGCTCACTGTGCGCCATAAGCCCCAATGATGATCGAACGTACAGCAAGTCTTGCTACGGTGCTATCGATACTGTGACTTCGGATACTGAAGTCACTGGTCCTGATTCGACATGGGCCGACCTTGACATTTTCCTGGCATCGAACCTTCGTGTGATCAATTGGATGCCACTCAACTACATACTTGCAACTTTGGGTGCAGTCGTTTCCCTGTTTCTCACTGTGGGCTTCATTGTTGCTGCCTATCGCGAGCGTAGATTGGACACGTCAGATTCACACACCGGCACACCTCACATTGGATCGTACACATCCGAGGCCTACGGGCATTCCAGCACTGAACGCTTGAGTTTTATGGACGAACTCATGACAAAAAAGTTTCGTCTTTGGGCTGTCTTTGTCTCGACGGACAACCAGCCAAAAAAGATCATTCTGATGATTTGTTGCGTCATCGCAATTTGCGTCTTCGGCTTTTACAATATTGAGATCGAAACCGATCCGATCAAATTGTGGGTGTCTACGTCGAGTACTTCATATCAGGAGCGTCAGCATTATGGTGAGCTGTTTAACCCATTCTACCGCATTGAGCAGGTGATTATGGTGCCCAAGGATGGAGGCACTATTTACCGCTCTTCGATTCTGAAGGAGGCGATTCGCATACAAAATGCAGCGGCGGATGTGGTTTATACTTCTGCTAATGATGAAGAGATAGTAACCTTGGACGATATATGCTGGAAGGCAACTGGCACAGGCTGTACTGTCAACTCGATCACTCAGTACTTTCAAAACAACATGGAGCACTTCGAATTTTATGAAAAGTACGGCTTCGAGATGGCGCACTTCAGCAACTGTCTCTACTCTCCAACAACGTCAGATGTCGCACTTTGTACAGACCTGAAAAGTGTATTGGATGATGGTGATTCCCTTCCATCTACAATGAGCGATTGCCCATGTTTGTCGGCTTTCGGTTCTCCCATGAACTTGTATAATACGTACCTTGGTGGGTTTCCTGATGGTGCAGAAAGCAATAACACGCTGTTTTTAGATTCAGTGGCGCTTGTTTCGTCATACTTAATCTACAATTATGCTGACGACGCCAAGAATGATCCTGCAATCAAGTGGGAGCGTGAGTACATTAAATCGATGAAGAACGAGGCGAAGTCTAACACAGTGTTTAATGTGTACTTTTTTGCTGAAATCTCGGTTCAGGACGAGGTGGATGCCGAATCGAGCAACGGTATGGGCCCCGTGGCGCTGAGTTACTGCTTGATGATTATTTACATTTCGCTCGGAATTAATCGTATCAAGTTTAGCCGTGACTTTTTCATAACATCAAAGATTGTGGCTGGCTTTTGTGGAGTGATGTGTATAGTCTGTGGAGTGGCGTCGACCATCGGACTGTACATGTGGTTTGGAGTCAAGCTCCAACTAATCATAATGGAAGTAGTCCCTTTCCTATCGCTTGCAATTGGTGTTGATAACATCTTTCTCCTTATCCACGCGATGAGCGAGACGGAAGATAGACTTCGACGTGAGAAGCCAGCTTTATTCGTTGGTCTCGAGCAAAAGCCTAAGGCAATTGAGCAATTAACCACAACCATCGTATCCGAGAGTCTGGCGTACATTGGCCCTAGTATCTTTATGGCCTCTGTGGCTGAATCTGTGGCATTTGCGTTCGGCTCAATCTCAGCAATGCCAGTTGTACTGTGGTTCGCAGCTATGGCGTCTTGTGTCGTAGCAGTCAACTTTTGCTTTCAGATGACCTTATTCTTGTCAATTCTCGTTCTAGACAAGCGCCGTGAGTTGAGCGGCAAGTACGACATCATTTTCAAGCGCTCGTCAGCAGCACCATTAGCATCAGCGGGTGGTCTTCAGACTCAGCAAACAGCAGCTCCTCTCGTGTCATTGGAGTCCAAGACTCCTGGACCCGACGAAGCCTGCCGTTCGGTGACACCGGAAGATCGCACACTAACTAATTATCTGGATTATTGTGTGGACACTTACGCATCCGCCTTGACTATTAAACCTGTCAAGCTGATTGTGCTATTGGCGTTTCTATCATGGACTTTGTGGTCAATCTATTCAATACAGTCGTTGGACCAAGGGCTTCCACAGAAAGAAGCAATGCCGTCTGACTCTTACATGATTGAATACTTTGATGCGCTGGACGTGTATCTCGCAACTGGTGTACCTGTGTACTTTATTGTTGAAGCGGGCTACGGACGAAATCCAAGCACGTGGACACTAAACGAGGAGGCCGTGGAAACAATCTTCTGCAAGTCAAAGGATATATGTGACACCTATTCGATTCCTAACATCATGAATGCACTGGCCAACACCGGCGACAAGGCTGTCACTCACATCAGTCCCGGTTCATCATACTCGTGGATGGACGATTTTTGGGGCTTTGTTAATCCTGACAGCGAGTGTTGTCGTGTGAATTCCGACGGTGCATACATTCCAATAAAGAGCGGAAATGATACGTATGCGACTCTGCGGTCAGAAGCCGATACATGCCTGACGACGTCTGTAACCGTACCACCTGTACCAGAAGATCAGTACATGTCGCTTTTCAGCATGTTTGCAACAGCTAGTGCCGGCTCTTCGTGCTCGTATGGTGGAGGCTCCATTTATCGAGGACAGTTTAGTATAGACAACAAACCGATTCCAACGGTCACTGCTTCTACACAGGCGGTAAAGTTAAACAACGGAGGCTTCGGTGAAGAAATCACAGCTTGGTCATATATGGTGACAGGTACGTCAAACCCGACTCAACAGCACTATATCGACTCGTACAAACAAAACCTTGCTGCAGCCGAGTGGATTAGTGAGAAGACTGGCGTGGATGTCTGGGTATACTCGCTCACGTATGTGTACTTTGAGCAGTACTTGACCGTGATCGAAGACGCCTACAGACTAATCGGTCTTGCGCTCGCCGCCATTTTTGTGGTCACAATGGTTTATCTGGGCAGTATCTATTATGCGTTGGCAATCGCACTGATGGCTACAAACCTAGTTGTTCTTGTGCTGGGACTGATGCAGCCAATGGAAATTATGCTCAATGGATTGTCGATTGTTAATCTGATCATTGCGGCTGGTATTGCGGTAGAGTTTAGCGGTCATTACGTTCGATTTTTTGCCAAGGCGCAAGGAACGGGGGACGAGCGTGCTCGTGCTGCACTTCGCGAGGTATTTACTTCAGTGGTATTTGGAATTACCGTTACTAAAATCATTGGCCTCAGTGTGCTGACCCTAGCCGACTCGCGCGTGTTTAAAAAGTATTACTTTCGCATGTATATGATGGTTGTGCTGTGTGGTGTGCTCAGTGGTATGTTGCTGCTGCCTGTGCTACTTAGCACAGTCACCGACGTCAAATTTTTTTTCATGCGTCGACATTTGCGCAGAACTGAGTTGTCTTCTGCGCCTGTAGCACGCGTTGGATGAGTCGAAGGTCTGCCATCGTTCGTGCTCAAGTAGATGATATAAATATTACATTTGCTGGTAGAAAAGCATAAGTGTGACTATAAATTTGTGGCACTGTAATAGATTATGATTGCAAATTTGACAGTATCAAGTTTTAAGCTTTGTATGGGTGAATTATAGCTAGTCAAACAATCATGGGGTATATACTGTAGAAATGTGGACGTTCTGTGCAAATTGACAATTGTGATGAAATTCACATTACACTTTTGTGTAATTGGGAATTTTCAGAAGTACCAAGAATCGGTACTACCGAGGACCATAAGAAAGCCCGGGGGATACGTGCGCTGATAGCGTCGATACATTGACCGTCAAGAATTGCTTAACACACGTCAAGCAATTCTTGACGGTCAATGTATCGACGCTTTCTTCAGTACGATGTACGCGGCGGGTTTGGTGAAAGGGTATATCCCCTACTTGGCGCCGACTTTCCGAGCCAGATAATTGACAGCAAGTGGCGAATTGTGCCTGCTTATAATAAGCTAAATGCAACCGCCAGATCCTAGTAAGTATGTAATGGGCCACACTTAGTGTGATGAGCTACACATAGCCATTACATGGAGGTACCCTATGTACTTCTGTACGCATTGTGGGTTTGATACAAAATGTTACAGTATGGTGTTTCTGTAACGGGGTTACATGAGAGTGACCCGTCACTCTCCCAAGGAAGCTGTGGTGTA